GCTTCCCGCCGTCTGGTTTCGAGGTTGAAGGTTCGGTTTAAGGTTAACTAGCTTTGCCAGTGGTTTTAAGAACACATTCAGGCAGGAACAAAAGATAAATTTGGTACGCACCAAGCTGACGTAAGATTCGATTTATCTTCGTTAAATGTTAGTATTAAATGAACGGCCGGAGCGGTGGTCGACGCCTGTGCAGTTCCGGCCACCTTGGAGGGCCGGGCGGGAGGATCGTCGGGAGGGCGTCGAGTTCGAGACCAGCTCGTGAGCGAAGAGCGAGGACCCCGCCGTCGTCGGGGTAGGAAAATGGGAAATTAAATTGGCCAGTGAAGCAGGTAGTATACAGAAAAGATTAGCCGGGGCAGTGTGGCCGCCTAGCAGTCCCAGCTCTCGGTGGAGAGCTGAGGGCAGGAGGAGGGTCGCTCGGAGCCCAGGAGTCTGAGTCGCGTTTGAGCGGGGCTGATGGCCCACGGCAGTCGATGCTGGCCCCCGGGCAAACGCGAGGTGAAGACGGGCTGTCAAAAGAGAACAAAAAAAAAAAAAAAAAAAAAAAACTGGCAATGACAGATAGTCAAAGTCAGATTCAGCCCTAATGATACTGCTAAGAATTATGTAACCGGCCACACTCTAATTTCTGCATTGAACAAATATGTCTGTAAAAGGAAATAAATAAAATAAGATGCCCTGTAGCTGTGCTACAACATCTTCTGAAATAGTCAAGAGTCCAGGGGTACTCAAAGTTTTCAAACAGGGCGGCCAGGTCACCGTCCCTCAGGCCGTTGGAGAGTGCGCACTGTGGGCCCGGGACGAGTCGGCTGCTAAGCAGGACAGGCAGCGGCGGCAAAAACACCCAGCACGGGCCGGATAAATGTGCTAGATGGGCCAAATGTGGCCCATGGGCTGTAGTTTGAGGGCACCTGAATGAAAACCATCTTCTTTTCATGGGGTTATGGTCCTACTTCCCCTGTCTTTCCATATTATCTCTTTCTTTCTTTCTTTTTCTTTTTTTCTTTTTTTTGAGACAGAGTCTCACTCTGTTGCCCAGGCTAGAGTGAGTGCCGTGGCGTCAGCCTCGCTCACAGCAGCCTCAAACTCCTGGACTCAAGTGATCCTCCTGCCTCAGCCTCCCGAGTAGCTGGGACTACAGGCATGCGCCACCACGCCCGGCTAATTTTTTTCTATATACGTTAGTTGGCCAATTAATTTATCTCTTGGTTTTTCTCCATCCCTGAGGTCCCCAACCCTCAGGCTACAGACTGGTACAGGTCCACGGACTGGTGTTAGGAGCCGGGCCACACGGCAGGAGCTGAGCGGCAGGTGAGGGAGGGAAGCTTCATCTGTGTTTACAGCCGCTCCCATCTCTGGCATCACCGCGGGAGCTCCGCCCCCTGTCAGATCAGCCGAGGCGTTAGATTGTGCGTGATCATTATTTCCTCATAGATTGCAATGCCGTAATAGTAGACATAAAGTGCATAATAAATGCGTTGTGCTTCAATTCACAATTGCAAAGCTGTGGAAACCACCCAAGCACCCACCCATGCACGAGTGGATTAATAAAACGTGGTCTGTGCGCACCACGGAGCACTACTCAGCTCTGAGAAACACGGTGACCCAGCACCTCTTGTGTCTTCCTGGCTGGAGCTGGAGCCCATCCTACTAAGGGAAGTTCTGAAAATTTTTTATTTTATTTATTTTTTTAAGACAGGGTCTCACTCTGTTGCCCGGTCTAGAGTGAGTGCCGTGGCGTCAGCCTCGCTCACGGCAACCTCCAACTCCTGGGCTCAAGCGATCCTCCTGCCTCAGCCCTCCTCCCGAGTAGCTGGGACGACAGGCATGCGCCACCACGCCCGGCTCATTTTTTTACATATATATATTTTTTTAGTTGGCCAATTTCTTTCTTTCTCTATTTTTAGTAGAGACAGGGTCTTGCTCTTGCTCAGGCTGGTCTCGAACTCCTGACCTGGAGCGATCCTCCTGCCTCGCGCCTCCCAGAGTGCCGGGGTACAGGTGTGAGCCACCGCGGCCGGCCTGAAAACTATTTTAGAAAATAAGTCGTGTGCCATCGTTAGGGTAAATGACAGGTGGTTGTAGTTTGCGTCATTTTTCATGTTTGGGTAGCGTCTGAGAAGGGATGTGTATTAGTTCTCTATTGCTGCCGTAACAAATTGCCACACGCTTCAGGGATTAAAGCCATACGAATGTATTGTCGAACCGTTGTGATCACAGCCCTCACATAGGTCTCCCTGGGCTTCCGTGGGCTGCAAGGTGTTGGCTAAAAGGGAATGTTCTAGAAGAGAATCCATTCCTTCACCTCTTTTGGCTTCTTGAGGCCACCCACATTTCTTGCCTCAGTGGTCTCCTTTCTTCTTTTTTTTTTTTTGAGACAGAATCTCCCTCTGTCGC